CCCTCTTTCACTTTCGTTGCAGAATTGCATCACTCACAGTAGCTTCCAGGTTATGAAGGGGTGCACCACCTATCAATGATGGGAAAGCGAGTGAAAAAATGTCATTCGTCCGACCAAGGCGCAGGCAACTTGATTAATGTTTGGCTTCCGTGATAAATCCCCCGGTAAACAAGTTTCGCCCATCTTCACTTGTTTGGGAATGGACGAGTCAGCTCAGCATCACCGCATGGCAAAAGGCCAGGAAAAGGTGTAATGCTATCCTTGAACCAGACCGGTCTACTGCGAAAGGCGGTGTTCCACAGCGTGATGGCAACTGTTGCTCTCGCCGTCAACCGACAACGCCAACAACGTGTTGAATGGGTGGGTGCCTACCCCAAATGATGAATGGTAATGATGGCTCGGTTGATGTTTTGAGCTTTTGAGAGACGAAGGACAGGATGATGGATTACCTCTAGGTAGGTATTATGGCGGTTTTTCTCTGTGGGGAATTGAAAGTGATACCAGATTCGGCATGAGACGAATCTTAAAGGTGTTTCCTTGCAGAGTACCTTTGCCTCTTAGGGTAGGTGAATCAGTTATGGCTATGGCTATACGTTCCTTTTATGGTGTGTTCCAATTATGGCCTATGGAATCCCTGTAAACCATAATTTGAGCACACCATAAAAAGAACGTATAGCAATGAATTGTATATCTACCCAACATCTCGAAATTTTAAAACATAATGTGTTTATGCTCAGACAATGACGTATCATCTAACACATGATAATTTCGAATTTTCTACGAAACACCATTGTTGCACAGTGTTCACTCGGCTGTCGACAGAAGCAGGCAACTCTTGATGTGTGTCACGCGATCATCTGTTTACTCAGCATCTACCATTGTGTGGTCCTCCTTATTGTTCTTCAACAGCAGCTCTTTCGGTCGATGAGTCGTCGACTTTGGAAAGCAATCATATCGTGATGAGTGTTTGTGTCCATTGCTACCCGTTGGTTATACTGCCATACAGTGAAACCACTGGAAGCGGATCCTATTCTGATGACGGAGGCTTATTGAATAGCGTAAGATAAAGTGTTTATTTTGTTGTACCTTTTGACTCAAGTTTTAAGATGTTTTGTATAGCGAAGGTTCTGTAAAGTTAGTTCGATTGAGCCTTATCAAATAAATCAATAAACAAATCAGCATTGTTGCACAGTGTCAAAGCTAAGACTTCCTGTCTAGTGGAATTTGAAAAAGTAAATTGATTCTAAGTAAACAAAGTGCAACGGAATCATTTTTGAGTCGAGTCAACTCTCAGCTTCATCTTTACATGTCGTGAATAGTCTCGCAATATTAAAAGATCTTGTAAAATCAATACCAAGCATGATGTTTTGTTCCAATATCACGTGATGAGAGCGGAAAAGTATAATTTGATTGATGATTTAGCCTGGTCCCGATATTGTTATGTTACCAAAATAAAGAGAACCATTAAATTAAGAATTAAAGACAAAAAGAAAATAAGAGAAAAAAAAAACAAAAAGAAAATAAATAACAGAAATTAAAAATTTATGATTTTATGAATTTGAGAAGTATGGAATTATTAAATTAAGAAATGAAGAAATAATTAAAACTTAAACAATGCAGAAGTACAAACAGAAGTAAGGCCATAAGAATTAAAAATGTTATGAATAAAGAAATAAGGAAATAGGAATTAGGAAATTGAGAAATTTAGAAATTAAGAAATTGAGAAATTAAAAAATAACGATGTTAAGACATATGTACCTATATAATTAATGACCATATAAAGTTAAATGTTTTGGATCTTCCGGAAGACCGTTACATGAGTGCCTGCGTCTGTAGTAGGATCTAAAACGGTGGTAAGTCACTCTGCCAACTTGTGTCTGTGCTTATTGTGTTTCATGTGTGTTTTTGGGTGTCAGATGGGTGTTTCGTCGTGTTGACCGAGCTGTCAAAACTTCAACCGAAAAAATATATTTACTGGCAACCATATCCTCAACCATAACAACATAACGCTGATAATGACAGATCCTGCTACGACTCCTTTGCTGTTGTTTGTGTGCAGATTAATCATTGGAACGAGCATTAACCCTCTCACTGGAGGAGGAAGACGAAATGGGCGACTAACCTGGCGCCTGATATATATAGATATTATTGCGTCAAGGGAACGGTCGGTCACAAGATTCTCGAGGAGTGAAAAGGGTGGAGTTCGAAAATCGCATATAATCGTTCAGAACCTCCCAGACGAGATGGCATCTAGACCTATGAATGTGCTCACTCTCAAAGGGGCTTTCAGTCAGGCTGAAATTAACAACTGGTTAAAGAACAGTATCCCAGAAATACCGGAAAAGATTTATAGAAACGAAAGGAACCGGCTCGTTTTCCGTCACATCTTCATCGGAACGGTACTGATTTGCGAATACGGCAAGGTGGAAGTGAACATCAGAAGCGACAACATTTCTACCATTTCGATTCTGAAGGACGTCATTACGAAGGAAGCCACCAAGAAACGGATCAAGCTGGAGATTTCAACCAGTGAGTAACAGCTTCCAACAAATTCGATTTGATTGATAACTGCGTAGCACCCATTTTCAGATATCAACGAGCAAACCCTTCGCGGATTAATCAAGTTGATCGAACCGAAGATCGCCACTACAACAAGCTGACGAATACTGCAGGCACTGATCGATTTGGACATTTGAAACGAGGAAGAGTTCGAAACCCTGTCGGAAAAATATCGGAATCTTTTGAAAAGTCAGCGACAGATCTAAACCGAATTTCACAAGCAGCCCACGATACTGAACCGAATCTACGGGATTCTGACCGATCTGTACATCGATAAGTTCAAGTTCAAAGGGGTCATGAAAACGGTTGATGATGAGTAAATGAACTGCCTGATGAACTGCCACCGCCATTAATCCGGTTAACATTCTCGACGATTGGACACTTCAAATTGGTTCTGCATAGGACGGGACTAGTTTATGTCGATCCCCATCAAGCGAACCGTCTTTGATTGAAACTACAATGCAACAATAGCTCGGATGCTTCCTGTGGATTCATTTGGACTAACTTGGTGAGATCGTATTTGATTTTATCTATTTAAACTAAATTAACATGATTCTCTTGAATTTGGCAAATTCTTAATGGAGTTTTCTCCACATATCCCATTTTTTGTGTATTTGAAATCATAATTGAACGCCAAATGTCTGCACATTTTTGAACATGTGGTGGAACATTACTGCATTTCATATATATTGAAACATTATATTATATACTGGGGGGGGGGGGCAGCCTAAGGGAATCAAAGGATTTGTTGACTGGACGAGGGTTCGTGGATTTGCCAGTCCCTTGTCACCTGATTACAGATGGCCATCTGGTCGTTTTGTTTTCCAAAGGTCTTCAATGAAGCTGATTCACCCTGCTGCAACAAACCATCAGGCAGAACTTTCCAACCGGTAAAGTATCTGCAGGCATTGGTAATCCTTGCACTGATGGTGGGTTCCATTCACATCACATCATCACATATAATTAATGACCATATAAAGTGCCTAATCACCTATTTGGGGCAAGTTGAAACGCGCGAGGAAGTTGAAACGCAACGCGTATCTCTTGGTGGAAGTGAATGATGACTGTAGTTATTTTAGTACTTTGCGCTAGTGCACGATACCGCTAAAAAAATAGTATCACATTGAAATTATGAGATTTTTTTTGAAATTCAGGAATAAGTTAAAAAACAAAAAGAAAACAAAGTCGACAAAGGCGCGAGAATCGGTGGCAATCGAACACTACTTCTTTCCGTTAGCAATAGGAAAAAACGCGCGGTTCAAAAACGATACGAATTAAGATTTATTTCACTCTCCCGGTTATCGTAAGATAGAAGCGGACGACGTGTATGTAGGTACATTTGGATTGAGATGTATATTTCGACTGATCTGTTGGTCCAGGTTCTGATCTCTGTTGGGAGAATCAACATGTGAAACGGATTAGCAAAAGGCCTTTCCGATCGATCACTACTTCGATAGCCGAAAGCAGTTAGGACGGAAATTCAATTGTATGCTAAATATACTGCCGTTATACGCATAAAAGTACCATGGTGCATAAGGATTGCATAGAACATGGGTCAGTTATGCGTATAATGGCAGTATAGTGCACGAATATTTCGACAGTGAGCATGCATAAGGGCGAATACGCGATCATCGATTCTCTTCATCGATTTCCTCTTTGCATTGCTACAGTTAAGCGAAACAATTTTCTAGAATTTGTTCAATGCAGAGTAGTAACAGGTTGTATTGGCTATCAAAAGCAACAGCAAACGCACCAAGAAACGTTAAATCTAGCGAGTTATTAACAAAAGAGAAAATCGACGAAGAGAATCGATCATCGCGTATAGGCCTTTATGCATGCTCACTGTCGATTTTCTTGTTAGGGTGGTGCTCTAACATAACGGGGGCCAGCGTTGAAAGCGTCGCCTTTCAACCAAGGGGGGGGGGGGTGGCTGTCAAATACGAACAATCGTCGCCTACCTCGCATAACTGGTTCCAAACGTAAACAAGCCATAAGAAACCTACAGCGTTTGTTTACGTTTGGAACCAATTTCATACAAGAATTATCAGTAGGCTGATTTGACAGCACGTCCCCCCCACTAGCTTTCAACCAAGGAATACGATATCATCGGCTGCCTCGGTTCGCTTCGGTCGTCGGTACTGGTAAACGATTGGGTATCCTCGTGTTTGTTTATGTCTGGACTAATCGTATTCCAGCTCGGATGACGTCACGGGATTCCTCACACGACCGTTTTTCTTCGGGTTGCAGGTAATTTTAAAGGGTTGTAGCTCGGTAGTCTTCAGCGTTGGGCATACTAGGATTGAGTAGCCATCGATGAACCAGGACATGTCGGTGGATGAAAAATTCTCAAGTTTTTTGAAAATTCAATTAAATATTAACTTACAGGGTTGGAGGCCCGCAGGCCTCCCGTTGCGCAACGCCGTAGCGATGCGATGGAAGACTCATTGCTCTGAGTTTGGGTTGGCCGGACTAGCGACGTCGGTTGTGGGTTGGCGTTTCGGCAGGACGCATATGTTGGAGATGGACCGTGTGTACTCCCCGTCGGCCGTCCGCACGATGACTACACAGATGTTGTTATCCTCGCCACGGTAGACACGGGTGATTCGGCCGTACTTCCACTTCAGGGGTGGAAGGTTGTCCTCCTTGAACAGCACTAGAGTGCCGACGTCGATGTTGTCCCGCTGTTGAGGCCATTTCGTGCGTGGGTGTAGGCCAGAGAGATAATCGGTGGTCCAACGCTTCCAAATGCATCGATGCAGTTCGTTGTTCTCCTGCCAACGGTCGAGGCGGTTTCTCGGATCTCGGACAGGTCGGATTCAGGAAATGAGGTAAGTGGTCGATGTATTAAAAAGTGACCCGGAGTAAGGACTTCCAGATCGTTAGTATCAGCAGAGAGTGGAGTTAACGGTCTGGAATTTAGCCAAGCTTCGATACGAGCCATCCGAGTAATGAATTCATCCTGGGAGAGCACAGAATTCCCGATGGTGGCTCGCAAGTGCTTCTTGAAGGATTTAACTGCCGCCTCCCACAAGCCACCAAAGTTCGGGCTGCGGGGCGGGATGAATTTGAACGCAATGCCGTCGTCTGCACAGTGGTTGATCACTACTGTTTGGTGTTGTTGGTCGTAGAATTTCCTTCGTAGTTTTGCCAATTCTTTCGCTGCTCCCTTGAAGTTCTTGGCGTTATCGCATTCGATGAGCTTCGGCGTCCCTATGCAAGCAGTAAATCGATGAAGTGCAACTAGGAACGCGGCCGTGCTGAGGTCGTAGACGAGCTCTACGTGGGTAGCTTTTGTGACAAGGCACACAAAAATAGCTACGTAGCATTTGACCGCTGATGCTCGCGGTGACTTGCGGTACTGGAACGGTCCGCACAGGTCAACTCCAGTGTTGAGGAATGGCAGCGTTGGCGTGACTCGCTCAGGTGGGAGATCACCCATTAACTGCTCGAGGTTGTTGGGCTTGCAGCGGTAGCAATTCACACAGGAATGCACCACCTTCCGTGCCAGGTTACGGATTCGAAGTGGCCAAAATTTTTCTCGAACACAGGCGACGAGCAGTTGCGGCCCTGCGTGGAGATGTTTTTCGTGGTAGTGGACCAATATTCGTTCTGTGAGCATGTGACGAGCAGGCAGGATCATTTGTGTGTTTTCTGTCTTCCGCAGACGTCCACCCACACGCAGGATCCCGTCGATCAGAATTCGGGAAAGGTTTTTGAGCTCGGAGCGAGAGCTAACAAGTCCACTGGTGCTGATTTCAGACAACTCTCGGGCAAATGATTCTTGCAGAGCGATCCGAACGAGAAACTGTGTAGTGTCATTCAGCTCGAACGTGGTGAGATGTCCAGTTTTTCGGTTGTTGCGGTTCTGGTGCGAAAAGTTGTGTTGGAAACGGCGTAGATAGGTGACTAGCCGCACCAGACGAGGAAATGAAGAATGAAGTTCAAAGAGTTCGTTGGGTGGTACTGCTTGTACCGGCAGCGATATCGGACGTTCCGCTTGGGCGATGTTTGGTAGATTGTCAGGCATTGGTTGATTGATCGGTGGCCAGAAGCGAGATGGTTGATTCAGCCACTGAGGTCCAATTCACCAGGCAGGGGTATTTCTCAGGTCCACAAGACTCATACCACGTGAAATAATGTCCGCTGAGTGAGTTTGCGAAAAAGACTGATTTCCCGGCTGGACCGGAAATGAACGTGGTGCGTTTGGGTTAGTAGGAGTAGATGGATGAACAATCGGAGCATAGTGTGATGCCTTTGGTGACACTCGGCATGTACCAGATGAACATTTGCGAACCATGTGCTTCGGCGATAAACAATTAATGCACAAGTTCTTTTTCTTCACAAGATCGAAGCGTTGCTTAACTGACAACCCTTGGAAGAATTCGCATTTGAATGGAGAGTGGGCGGACTTCGAGTAAAACGGACACGGTCGCTGGACTGGTGACTGCGTAGACGTGTGACTATGGCATGACCAAACACTCCCGGGTAACTAACTCAGTAGCATGAGACCCCTGAACTGTGTCGCAGGGCCGTGTTACTGGGTATTCTGAGGGACCACGCGGACAAAGTACACAGGAATATTCATACTTTCTAACATTTATTTCCCTATTCTGTTGCTGGCTCGTTTGGCTGGCAGGCGTCTTCCGTCGTTGACGGCATCGGCTGACCGTGGCATGGCCACCTTGGCGAGCCGAGACGGGACCCTCCTTGGTAATTAAGGCCACTGGCATGAGGGAATCGTCCCTGACGGACGATCGAGGATCATTTACTATTAGGCTCGGAAGCCATCTTGACTTCCGAGCCGAGCCGTGTAAGACCGTTTTATTTACGGTACAAGGTGTACAAAAGCACAAGAGGTCCTGAGAATTATCACAATTCAGTCAGGGAAATTTCCGTTAGGATAATAAAAATCAATTACCTGAACGGAGGTAGGCTTTGCAGCCCAAACCCCACAAGGGGGGGGGGGGGGGGGTGTATTATATATATACACTACACTTCACACTCAACTGGTCTACACGGACGCCTGATTACTTCTGCCTAATCTTTCAAATCTAAGATGGCTAGCTATTCATCGTCCGATTTGCGCATCTATTGTTATTTTAAAGCCAGGATTTTCCTCCCTTCAGTAACGTTACGTTGTTGTTTGCAGCGGCACAAACCCTCTCGCTCTTGTGTGTGTCTACTGTTTTAGGTTTAATAAAACGTGAATTTTCCAAACAACAACAACTCATACAAACGAAAATCCACGGATTGTAACTGGTTACAGACGGTCTTGGATTTCAGCGGCCGATGCTGCTGAGAATATTGACGAATACGATTTGGACGACGACAACGACTGGAGAACGGATAAGTGACCACACAAAAAGGCCATAAGATCGTGGTATTCTGGAACTTCTGTTAAACGGTAGAATGACTCCCACTGCTTGAGGGTTGAGGGATCGAGACGACAGCAGACCATGTGAGCCAGAAGTACAGTCCAGTTCTCCGTTATGAATCCCATTTTGTCAATCATCTTCAGGTTTCGCTCGAACTCGTCGACCAACCGCGTCAACGATTCATACGATTCCCGTTTCATGGGCTCGATCGAAAACAGAGCGTCCATGTATGTCTTGAAGATAAGCTTCTTATTATCAAACCTATTTTCAAGCAGGCGACAGGATAATTGGCAGCTGTAAGCTCTATAGCTTCGATCACCTTGCTCGCGTCTTTCGTCAGGGACGCTGCAAGGTAGGAAAATTTATCGAATTGCGACAAATCAGCATTGGAGTCGATAAGCGATTTGAATGAATCGCGAATGAATCGCGAAAAGTGATCCATTCCGAAATGGTGCCATCAAAACTTGGCTGTTTCACATCAGGCAGATTGACCCGCGACTGAATAGGTGGATGTTGGTTGAGGTTAGGTTGGGAACACGATGCATTCAAATTCTGATGTATTCCAAAGTTCTTGGACGGAAAAATGTCATTGTTCTTCTATTAGGTTCGGTGATCTTCGGAACATGTCGAATAAAAACTTCAAAAGCAGATACATTGTACATTAGGGTGCTTCATTCTGAAAAAAGTGATGAATTTCTGATGGGCCACCCTCCAGTTCGATTCATAGCCCCAAAATATGAACCTGTGCAAAAATTGGTAAAGATTGATGAAGGTTTAGAGGTCGCGCCAATGATTTGAAATTTGTATGGGAATTACTATGGAAGAATTTAAAAAATCGCTTATATCGCTATAACTTTGCTTCTACTTGTCCAAATGTCGAAAAAATTTAGTATGTTATTGCTATGGCAATAAACAAAAAGCCTACAGTTGCTACGCTCAGTTTTGCAGCGTATCAAGAATTATAAAAATGTGAAAAAATGGCAAAATAGGGTAAATTGACAGATGAATATGTACAAGGCAACAACGCCAATTTCATCGCAACAACAACAGGCTTGTTGATCATTGTCATGACAACCACATATTTTTTTTTTCAACGTTTGGACAACTACAACCAAAGTTAGAGCAATGTAAACGAAAATCAATAATTTCCCATACTAATTCACCAAAATCTCCATACAAAATCCAAATCATTGGCGCGACCTCTAAACCTTCATCAATCTTTACCATTTTTTGCACAGGTTCATATTTTGGATCTATGAATCGAACTGGAGGGTGGCCTATCAAAAATTCATCACTTTTTCAAAATGAAACACCCTATTGTACATAGAGAGCATATTCGGGGTATTTGAGGTGAAAATCGAGGAGCCTTCGAATTCAAGTTCGGTACATAGTGACTACAAGACAGTACAACTTTCCCAGCCATTATAACGTCCATTTTCATTAACCAAGGGAGCATTAGACATTTGAAGGTGCTACGCATCTAAAGAAAGCGAGAAACAAAAATTATAGGTGTTATCAATAAATTAATCGTCATCATTTTTCGTCAAATTGATGTAAATTGAGACCGAAAGCGGTTTCGGAGAAAAGTGACTCAATTTAAATGAACCCAAACTTGTTCTGTTGTGCTGAAAACTCCCGAAAGAAACGGTTTTCCCAAATTGAAATTTATGCCCGGCCAATCTCCTATCTCCATTTAGCTAACTAGAACCAAAAACCAAGCACCATCGAGAAGGTGGTCTGCCCAGACGGGTTTATTCTACTAGCCATTTATTTAGATCCCGTTGAGATACATATATTCATATGCCAGCAGAGTACAGACTATGTTCGTTCATGTTGAGTTCATACGCTTGGTTATACGGAGCGAACAAAAGAGCAATGGAAAGTGCATTTTTATTTTGCGAGCTTCCCCGCTTTTAACTGGAAGCCGTCGTCGTAACTTCCAGCGCTTGCCTTCTTTTATCGCAGTGTGGTGTAATTTTAGGTATAAATTGTAGCAATAGTAACTGGAGTGGAGTGTGTGATATGATAAAAAATGGTAGCTCTTTTATGCACTGTTTTTCCGGGTGATTGTTAACAGATAGACTCGTTTAGAGATCGGTGTAAGAAATAGCGACGTAAATAGGCCTCTGACCATTCATATCGAAACATCGAAATCGTTTCTGTGAATGACATACAACTAAATTCGGCAATCAAACCGTTTTAAATCCGAACACTTTTCAATTTGCAGGCCGTGCAAACTAAAAATGGCGCAAATATCATGCAATGAAGTTAAGCGACATGGAACGTTGTGAGAACGCAGAATCAAAACAAAACAGCAAACAAGGCTACCAGATACACGCTTTTTTGCTCTACGATTTTTGTCAGTTTTCAAGTATTCATGGTTTTGAACATTCCAAAAGTTTGAATTTTTTCATGAGCTGTTTTTAATTAATTTATTTTTTCAATGATAAGGACGTTTTGAGATGTTCAGGTTCTTAACTTTTTTTTAATATTTTTACTTGGAATTACTTAAATAATTATTTTGTTTATTTTTCTCAGCAAAAAAACTTTATGTTTCTCTACAACTTTGTCTGAGAACGTCATTTCGTGCAAAAGTTCCATTCTCATGCCACAATTTTTCAAAAATTCAAAGATGCCATTTTGAAATTTTACAAGATACAAAATAACCGAAAATTTTCCAACCAATATTTTTTTTTCTTTGACTTTTTGTTCTTTTATACCATTTTTCCATTCGACCTTTTGTCCGTCTATGTTATATTCGACGATTTTTTTCCATTCTACCTTTTGTCCCTCTATGTTCGATTCAACCTTTTATCCATTCGACCTTTTGTATCTTCGACCTTTTGTTCTTCTAATTTCAATTCGACTTTTGTCCCTTTACCTTCAATTCAACCTTTTGTCCATTCGACCTTTTATCAATCAGATCTTTAGTCCATTCGACCTTTTGTTCATTCGACCTTTTGTCATAGATTCGGAACAAGGTACATGGGGGTGAATTGTCGTATTAATCTCCATCGCTGCTGCATCGGCAAATGAACGTGGGAGGAATTTTTTCAATTGAATTTAAATATGATCACTGTGCTACTAGTGTGTGTACTAGTGCCTTAACTAGACTCGTTCAAATTTAAACTTCACAATTCTGAATGTGATGTATTTGCTCTCTGTGAAACATGGTTTTCTTCCGATAACGAACTCAACTTCCACGATTTTAACATTATTCGCCTGGATAGAGACGATTCTTATGGAGGAATACTTTTAGGGATCAAAAGTGCTACCCTTTCTACAAAATTTTCCTTCATGCTCTATCAGGCGTCGAAATCGTCGCTTGCCAAATAAATGTGAAGAATAAAAATCTTTGCTTAGCTTCAGTATATGTTCCACCAAGAACCTCCATTAGTCGTAGTCAACTCTGGAATCTAGTTTCGATTCTTCCATCCCCAGTATTATTTCTGGGTGATATGAACTCCCATGGTACTGGGTGGGGCGATCTATACGATGAGAATAGTTCGGCTATTTTTTACGATTTATGTGACGATTTCAACTTGACTATTTTGAAAACTAGTGAAGTGACACGTATAGCTAAAGCTCCAGGTCGAGAAACCTATCATTGGATCTCCATGGTAGCGATCATTTGCCAATCATCATTTCAATTAAGTGTGGCCCTCAATCTGCAGAACCATCTCGAGTTCCATTTGATCTTACAAGGAACATCGATTGACAGAAATATGCAACGGCGGTGACAATCGGTGTCGAATCAATAGATACGCTTCCACCATTGGAAGAATATCGATTCCTCGCCGATTTGATTTACAAATGCTCACTGGATGCACAAAAAAGAAAAGTTCCAAGTGCACCCTTCAGAAGGAGACCAGCCACACGTGGATGGGACGAATAATGCACAAAATTGTATGTAGAAAAATCTGATGCTTCCAAAGCTTTTGGTAGACACAAAACCTCCAAATATTTCGAGGAATGTTCAAAGCTTGAGACAAAGCTGAAACAATTAGTCAAACAAAAGAAACGCGGTTATTGGCGCAATTTCGTCGAGGGACTCTCACGAGAAACCTCATTGAACACCTTGTGGAGGGTGGCTCGTATCATGCGTAACCGCTCATCTTCTAATGAGAGTGAAGAATACTCCAACCGATGGATATTCGATTTCGCTAAAAAGGTCTGTCCGGACTCAGTCCCAGCACAAAATATTCTTCGAGAAGCGTCTCCTAGCGGCGGCTCTCTGGATAGACCATTCACAATACTGGAATTCTCTATGGCTCTTCTTTCATCGAACAACTCCTCACCGGGAAGCCATATGATTGAATTCAATCTTCTAAAAAATCTCCCAGATATCGCTAAAAGACGCTTGCTAGATTTATTCAATTCCTTACTAGAAAACAATATTATACCGCCTGAATGGAGACAGGTCAAAGTAATAGCCATTCGAAAACCTGGCAAATCAGCGTCTGACCATAACTCGCCGCAGGTTTATTTTTTTATTTTTTTAGCTTTATTAGAGAGATTTTTAGCCTAAGGCTAGTTCATCTCATCGCCGCAGGAAACTGAACTGGTTGTGTTTACTCGAAAGCGGTACCCAGCCCAAATGTAGCTTAATCTTTTGGGCAGAAACATTACTCAATCATTGTCTTTCAAGTACATTGGGGTCTGGTTTGATTCAAAGTGCACTTGGAATACCCATTAGACTGATGCAAATTTTGAAATTTTCGCTCCACAGGCTCAAACGGTTCCAAATAGAGCCCTGATTAGCCTCCCAAAATTTGAACTCATTTAGTGAGAAACTGCATTGGCACAAACCATTTGAAGTTTATATGGGAATTACTATGGAGAAACCATAGTTTCGGTTCATATCTATCTCAAAATTCACCAGATCACTCTACTTTAGAAAATGATAGCTAAGCTTGTTGAAAATTTTCTCAGCTACAACTTTGTTGAAGACCACTTTTCGATCAAATGTAAGGAACAAAAATTATTAATCATTAAAGTTACTGATGTCTTATGATTATGCTCAATCAACTGTTCAGCAGGCAACATTGGTATTTATGGCGCGTAGAATAGAGGACAAAAATCATGGCTACTATGTCACACTGCAGAATACAGTGTTGCCCACAGTACAACTGATTAATCGTGCCATAAGATTATCAATCTCTTAAACAATTCATAACTATTTAATATGACGTTTGGCTGAAAAACAATTTTCTGTTGTAGCTGATAA